GCAGCTGTCCTGGCTGAACAACTGTATCCTGTTTCCAACCTGACTTATAACCTGTTAACTTTCCTATTAACCTCCATAATCATGAGTATGATCTGTGAGTTCTGCATGGCCATTACAACAGATTAGTGGACCCCATAGTAGAGCAGTGAGAGCCCTGGGAAGGACGCATGGCATTACAATTGACAGAAGTAGATGCAGGGGCATGGAAATCAATCTTGTGTTGTAGATGAGGACTGTTCTCCCTTGTGGAGTTAATGAAGGTCAGATATAGGTGCCCCCTTGCTGGCCACAACTCCTTTTATTCACATCTGTTCAGCTGCCACATCCACTGTTGTTGTATGCCATCGAGTCAGAACTGACCTATAGCTGACCATCCAGCAGGTTTTCACAGGCAGTTAAGTGCATGGGAGAAGACTGCTCATTCTTCTCCCATGGAGCTGCTGGTTGATTCAAACCACATGCCTTCAAGACTGCAGTGAGCTTCTTACCCCTACGCCACAGAGCTCCCTACCCACTAGTAAACTGCCATTACTATTGTTGTAGGATTGTATATGCCCCAACCTTTAGCAATTGTTTGTTGTCTTTTATCATGCATACATCCCCTTGTCTTCTTTTGATTTGGCATGTTGTGCTTACCCTCTCCTTACTGTGTATTGCCTTTTCCCTTAACCCAAATTAATCCGTGTTTACAACCTGGTTACTAATTTGTATTCTCTTCTTTTGCTATTTCTGATAATCATCAAAGAAAGTGTCTTTCTGTGTATATGCCTTACTTGATGTTTATAATCATGGACTCATACAATATTTGTCCTTTTGTGACTGATGTTTTTCACTTAGCATAATGACCTCTAGGTTTATCCATGTCATGAGTGTTTCATGGACTTACTGTCCATCCATCCACTGATAAGTGTTAGTCTGGGCAAAGAGGGCCAAAGAGAAGAATGAAGAATTCAGAACTCAAATGCTGATGGCCTTGCCTGCTGCAGATAAGAGGACAAATGGCCTTGCCTGTCTGGCTAAGCTAGCAGGTGGCTCATAAATCAGAATGGAATGTCCCTCCCTAAAGACTCTGTTTATAAAAATCCTTCCCAGTAAGTTCACAGTGTGACTTCCCATTCTGCATCTCCAGGATGAGGAACTCACCCGGGAGCTCGCCTTTCCCCCCTTGAATAAAGCTGCATTAAGCTTTCTCTCCTTCTCTCTGATTTCTTCTTTAAGTCCACTAACCTAACCTAACCTAACCTAACAATAAGTACTTGAACTGTCTACTTTTTGCAACTGTGAAAATATTGTGTGGAACATCTGTGTGCATATATCTATATTGGATTTGCTTTACTTAACTATTAACTTGAAAGAATAACTTGGCTTGCTTCTGTACCACATTTCTACAGAATAGTTTCCTAAGTCTTTGAGAAAAAAAATTTAAGTCTTCTTTCCAGTTCATAGAACTACAACCCTAATCAGTGATTGCTTTGGGTACTTCAATTCTCCTTTAAAACCGCTTTATCCTAATGTGAAAAAACTGTTGGGTGGTAAGAATCTTTATAATCAAGGTCTTTACCTAAGGAGGACTCTTTAGAACTGTTTCTCTTCACTGTTGCCAGGCAATCAGAAATAAATCTAAAAAGGAGTTTATAAGTGGAATGGAGAGGGCATGACTTTCTGACTAATGTGCACATCTTTGGAGCCTCTCAGATAGTAATACCAGACTCTTATAATCTATATCATCTATATAATAGGTCATCAAGGAATCTCAGGAATCATCCACCCCTTGTCTCCTCATCCCACAGCTGGGGTTGAGGAGATAAGGTCCATGATCTGTTCACAAAACGAGTTACTGACAGAGCTAAGTTTAAAATTTACAATTTCCCATCCTTCTATCTTTTGCTTCTTTATAAAGTAAAATGGAAACAATGGCTCAAATTCCATGGAGAAATAATTATTTTCTTATTATAAAAACTGTAAACAGCCTTCAAATTTTTCAACAAGTCTGCACTAATGGGAAGAAATCTGAACTAATGGGGAAACAGTCAAAACATTCTTAGCATTTTTCCAACTATGATGTCTTATCCCAAGAACTGACTCTGCCTGATAACGTGCCCAAAAGTATGTCAGGCAGTCTCACCATCTTTGCCTCTAAGGGACACCCTGGCTGCTGTTCCTCTAAGACAGATTTGTTTGTTCTTTTAGCAATTCATAATAGTCTTATAATTCTAGTGTAGTTTAACATTAAATATTTTTTACAAGCCAATAAAACATGACAACTTCAATATCTTGTCAAAAAAAAAAACAACATTCTTAGCAAAGGAAGACAGTGGCACAGGGGAGAGTCACTAGCTTTCCTATTTATCATGCAAAAGTCTAAACCATGGGGAGATACCCAGCACCCCAAGGTCTCATGTATGTATGATCTTGTGCAACAGAAGATTATAAAGGCCTAAACTCAAGATTTTTAAAAATAATTTCTAAATCAGTATAATATTCTAATAGCTAACACCTTTTTTTAAAAAAGTGCTCCCAAAGAGACCATAACTCACATCCAAGCAAATATATGCACACCCATGTTTATTGCAGCTTTGTTCACAATAGTAAGGAATTGGAAACAACCTAAGTGTCCATCAACAAACGAATGGATAGAGAAGCTGTGGTATATTCACACAATGGAATACTACGCTGCATTGAAAAACAAGGAACTCATGCAATATTATTCAAAATGGGTGACTCTGGAGGACATTATGCTGAGTGAAGTATCTATTCCCAAAAGGACAAATACTGCATGGTGCCACTGTTGTAAACCAAGACTGACCTCAGGGTTGGAGGGAGACTGAGAAAGATGGGATTAATAATGTACACTGCATTGAAACAGATGAGGGAGAAAACTGTTTAACAGGGATATGTGGTTAGGTATTTTTGTCATGACAGGAGTCCAGAGCGAAGGCTGCATAGTGGAGTCGACCTGGGGGAGGGTTTGTAAAACAATGAAAGAATTTTTCTTTTACTTTTCCAAGAGAGGAGTGTACTGGGGGATGAGGGTTGGGAGGGGCGAAATGTGCAACAATGCATGAATGGAAATCCAAAGTCTCTGTAAATTTTCATTGAAATTAATAATAAATTTTTTTAAAAAGATAAACTAAAAAAAAATTGCTGATACCATAAATGACTAGTTTTTCCACTCAGAAGGAGAATGGATTGGTAGGAGGAGAATGGAGTCAAGAAAATGAGAAGACTAAATCCCAAACAGCGGTGAGGAGCAACTAGACTGGGTGTATAAACTGACAGCGAAGGAAAACACGGGTGTTTAAGATACTCCAAAGGAGAGCCAGGGAGCCCTTAGAAAGAAATGAACAGACATAAAAATGACATAGAAGAAAAGGGAGATTACTAAGAGTTTTGATGATAAAAGGATTTCAACTGCTGGCTGATCAGACGGTTCAGTAGTATTTACTGACAAACGGAATGCATCAATCTCTAAGTCACTTCTTAAATCTATGAAATTGCTCCCTTCTACTCACAGGAGTGTTATAAAACAGTAGATGTGATACATGGTGATGCACAAAATTTGGATGTTAAATGTATGAAGTGTTAGCTCACCAAAAGTGGTTTTGGGTTTGTTTTTTTCCAAATAGAACCTTTCTATCCCTCTCTTCTACCTTTTCATCATCAAGGGATCCCGTGACTCACTTATAAGCTGTGTGGAATGCATAAAGACCATTTTTCTACAGCTAGTTCTGCTTGAACATACAAAACCAATGTCATGTGAGGCATACAAAAGGTACAGAATGGGTCCTCTACCCCAGGACCAAGCATCAGCCTCTTGGCCATTCCCCTGGATTTCTACTCTCCATGTCATGCCTTACTCAGCCTCTGAGCTGAGCAGTCCTTAGCAGTCCTTACCACTTTTCACAGGCATACACCTCTCCCACTTCCAGCTACCCACTCTAACTGCGGCTCCAGCAAATCACACCCTCCAAGCTTTTGTTCCTCTTTAACTCAGATAGGTATCAGACTTGACTCTGGCATCTTCACTGTAGCAACACCTTCAGGCAAATGAAAACTCTGCATGTGGGTTAAAGTGATCTATGTTTTGCAATGCAATGATGTCAAGGTGCAATGAACTTTTTATTTCACTGTAAAAGAAGTGAATTAGAAAGACTTTAAAATGATTTACTGCTGAATAAGTATTCTTAAGTATTAACTGACCAATTGCTTTTAACTGTGAAACATTTGCATAGTGAAGTCCAACTGTCACAAATCCACTTCACTTTTTCACCCAGTCAGCTGAAGGAGCCTGGCCAGGGGCACATTTTCCCCAAGAAAAAGAATGTGGAGAGAAAGAAGGTCAAGTGGCTCTACTTGCTTTGCACACACACCTCTCCAATGCCGGGCACAAACTATGTTGAAATCTCCGAAATGAGAGCCTGTACTGGTCTCCTAAAAAAGCATTCTCTTAGGACTTGAGAAATAATAGTCAACCAGTCAGTCCCCTCTTTGGCCCGATCCAGCCTGATATGTCACCTCTCCTCTGCAGGATGGCAGACTGGACAGGATTCCTGAAGGTCCCTTCCAAGTCCGACACCCACGGGTACCACGTGAACAGAACTCGGCCCAGAAGGAAAATCAAGCCCCTCTGTAGAAGGTTCTGGATCAGCAGAACAGGGTTTTACAACCACAGGCAAGATCTATAAAAGCGGACATAAGGACTAAGGTGGGGAACACTTGGAGGGCTGATTCAAACTACACTCACGCTATCAAAAGTAGTGTGTCCAATTACTTGGGGGTGTGGGAAGGAAGGAAGGAACTAAGAAGCGGCTGTGGCCGAGGGGTGGGGTCCTTTGGTCGTCCTAGCACGAGGAGGAGCAGCTTCCAGACCCCGGGAACCGCAAGCGTGGTGAAATGCGCTGTGCACCGCACAGGGGGACTGAGCGCCAGCTTCAGCCCTGCCGGTGGTCCGGGTGCACCCAGAGCCCGCCAGTGGAGCAGCCCGCCCGCCGCTCACTCACCCACAGGCTGCTGAAGTAGTCCAGTCCGCGGCAGATGAGCAGGCCGGCGTGCGCCAGCAGCACCTGCACGCCCAGGTAGCTGCCCAGGCAGTAGAGGCCGTAGAGCAGCGGGCCGCCCGCGCCGAGCACCAGGAGCAGGCGGCGGCGGCGCAGCGCCTGTTCGCCCAGGGCCTCGACGCCGTAGTCGGCGAAGCAGAGCGGCAGCAGCAGCGCGGCCAGCACGATGGGCGTGTGCGCCCGGTGCAGGCGGTGCAGCCAGTGGCGACCCACGCGGGTCAGCGAGCTCTTGAAGGGGTGCAGGAAGGTGCCGCACAGCACCGCCCAGAGCAGCGGCCGCAGAAAGGCCTCCAGGATGAAGTAGACCAGCACCGCGGCCCCGCAGCACAGGCACACGAACAGCACGGCCCCGGTGTTGTAGAAGGCCTGCTTGATGGGCTTGTCAAAGCGCAGAGCCAGAGCCGCGGTCCGTGGAGTCTCCACGCCGACTCCGCCGCCGCCGCCTGTCCCGGCTGCCCGCGGGGCGCGCGGCACCTGAGCCGGGGAGCCCCGCGGGCTGGGCGCCTCAGCAGAGCCATCAGCACTGTCAGCCATAGTGGCTCAGCTGCCGCCGCCGCCACAGCGAGGCGGTACTGGGAAGGCGAACCCCAGCGCCGGATGGGTGCCCCGAGCGGGAGGGAGGACCGGCGGCGTGCGGCATTGTGGGAATTGTAGTTCTCACCTGCCCGGCGAGGGCCTCCCTGACTTTGGGGAAACTACATCTCCCAATGGAGCATGGTATTCGGCCCACTACGCCAACGTCCCTTTTCCCCCTCTGGGTCTTGGTAACAGGTTCCTGGCAACTGCATCATCCAAGAGTTCCAAAGAAAAGTTCCTTTCGCCTGTGTGTTAATCCCGTTTTCTTAGGTGAAGGCGATCCCAAAGAGGCATTACATTTGGAAACGGAAAACGCAGGCTGCACATTAGAATCTCTGAAAGTACTTAGAAATGAGTGATGTTCAGATTATTTTTATTCAATAAAAACTTTAAGAAGTGTTTGTTCTGATGTATTTGGGAAAATTCTACAAAGCATTGCCATATTGCAGGCGTTTTTCAAATGTCGCGCTCCTACTAACTCATTTCATCCTTAAAACAATCCTATTAAACGCATCTCTGGTGGCCAAGTGGAAAAACAATCCTAAAAAGGAGTTAGTTCTATTATAATTCTTTTACCAAGAGGAAAACCAGAGTGCTGAGAAGTAGCATTTCCAGGTCACTCACTCCTTTGGCAAATGATGTAGTTAGGTGCCCTAAAGTTGACATGACTCATAGTACCCTATGAACAACAGATCTGTACTTTGTCCAGTTACTGCACCATTTGGTATGCTCCAACCCATCACTATGCCAATTCATTCGTTGATTGTCTTCCTCTCTTTCTTTCGACTTTCCACTTTTCCAAGCATGATGATGTCTTTGTACAAGGACTGGCCCCTCCTAATAATATGCCCAAATTATATAAGACAAAGTTTCACCATCCTTGTCTCTGATTGCACTTCCTCCAAGGCTGACTTGTTTGTTCTTCTGGAAGTCTATGGGATGTTTGGTGCTCTTCTCCAACATCATAATTCAAAGGCATCAATTCTTCTTCTGTCATCTTTATTCGTTGTCCAACTTTCAGATCCATAGGAAGCAATTGCAAAAAAACCCATAGCTTGAGCCAGGCATAGCTTAATCTTTAAATTTACATCTTTGTTCTTTAGCATTATGGAGCGGTTCCTTTTGTTTGGCATGTTTTATAGTTTTTTTAATTGTTTCTTTTATATTGGCTTTCTTACAAAGTTTGTATACATTGTGTTTCACACTAGCCTTCATTCACGTTGTGTTTTATTACAGTAATTCACATTCACTGTTTTATAAAATTAATCATCATTGAACTACGCCCACCATTACTGTCTTTCCAGATCCCTGCCGGATCTTTCCTGTTTCCTTTACCCTTCCCTCCGTCCACCCACCAAACTGTGTGACCCTATGGGAACACTGGTGGCCTGGGGACAAGAAGCTGCTCTGCAATCCCAAAGGCACACAGTTTGAATCCAATAGCTGCTCTGCAGAAGAATGAGCAATCCCCTCCTGTGCAACTACTGCCTCTGAAAACCTGCCAGAGGGTCAGCTAAGAGTCAGTTTCAACCTGATGATACACAACAATAACATGATTTTCCCCCTCACCCATCCTCACCCCTCTGCTCCCCCTCTCCTTTGGCTCCTCATACACTTTTTACTAATTGTCTTTCTACAATAAGGGTCTTATGCAGTATTTGTCCTCTTGAGACGGAGTTTGTTCACTCAGCATAATACTCTATGGAGAGGTCCTTTACAGCAGATTTTTAACAGTGAAACACACCTCTTGATTTTTATGACTGCTGCTAATATGTAAATTGGGTACTAATTGTGGATCACAAATAAGACAAAATCATTGACAATTTCAATCTTTTCTACACCTTTCATAATATTGCCTGTTGGTCCAGTGCTGAAGATATTTGTTTACTTGATGCTGAGATCCAGACTGAGGGGTGTAGTTTTTGATCTTTTGCACTAAGTGTTTCAAGTCTTCTTCACTTTCTGCAAAGAAAGTTGTTTTATCTGGACAATGTGGGTTGTTGATGAGTTTCCAGCAGTCCTAATATCACATTCTTCTTCATATAGTCCAACTTCTTGAATGACTTGCTCAGTAAATAGATTGAATAGGTATGGAGAAGGGATACAACTGTAACACCCACTTTTTCCTGATTTTAAACCTTGCAATATCCCTTGTTCTTTTCTCCCAAGTGCTTTTTGTTCTATATATAGGTTTCACATAAGAACAATTAAATGTTCTGGAATTCCCATTCTTCTCAATTGCTATCCATAATTTGTTACAGTCCACATAGTCAAATACCTTTGCATAATCAAGAAAATATAATATCTTTCTAGTATTCTGTGCTCTCAGCCAAGATCAGTAGTTGAACAGAAAAATTAATTTGCTTTGTGAACTTCCACTGAAATAATAAAATATATATAAGCAAATATATAACATAAATATGCAAATTCAAAATAAACCATTTATTCTTCTCTATGAAATCTTCAAATATATTGATTTGCCTAAATGTTCCTGAAAGCAAGAAATCATTTGCTTTTGGAAGTGAATAAAAACCAGAATTTTTAGATAGAAAATACCAGCCATGCTTTGAATTTGACTCAGAAGTTGAGGCACAGCAGTGTTTTTGATTGAAAGTAGGCTTCTCAAGAAAAACTGAAATGGAAAAACTACCTGTTCCCCAAGTGAGCACTGGGATTTTAAATTAATTCACAAAACAGGGCAAGAGCTGCCTCTTCCCTCTGTGAATTTCACAACATTAATTCAGGACTTGCAATCTCCTTTCTATAAATTGGCAATACTTATTTTGCAAGATTTGGTGATTCCACCCAACTATGCTTATAGCCTGACTTGGCACCCCAACTTTAGTCTTCTGCTGGCTGGCAGACACTGTCCCAGGTCAAGGTGTTTATTTCCCATAGCACGTGTATTTGTATGCTTGCTTGTTTTGTGGCTTGCTCATATAGTCACAGCATGTACCTGTCAGTCTGCCATATTGTGGGGGTGTTGCTGCTTATTTTATAGTTTGTGTATGTGCATACTTGGGATTGGAGTAGAAAAGCAATTTTATTATATATGCTAGCATGTAGGAGATAGGGGGCATGAGCTCCCCAAACCTGCTCAGCAAGGCTATGAGGAGATAGGGATCTACTCGCTAGGTTAAGGATGTGGAGTAGAGTTTATGTTTATTCAGGACTTTTGGCAGATGGTACCAACTCACTGCTATTAAGTCAAAACTCAATTTCCAGAGTACTGAAAATACCATGGACTGCTAGGAAAACAAACATATTTGTCCTGGAAAGGGTTAAACCGGGTGGCTCCTTGGAGCAAGGATTCTGAGGCTCCGTCTAACATACTTTGGACATGTTGTGAGGAGAGACCGGTCCTTAGAGAGGGACATCATGCTTGGGAGGGTGGAGGGACGGCGCAGGAGAGGAAGGCCCTCTATGAGGTGGATTGATTCAGTGACTGGGATAATTGGGATGGGAGTGTCAGAGACAGTGCGATTGGCACAGGACAGAGCGGCGTTTAGGGCTGTTGTACATAGGGTCGCTATGAGTCGCAGGGACGGCACATAACAACAACAACAACATAAAGTGCAAGGGAGGAGACTATCTTTCTCTCATGGAGCAGCTGGTGGATTCAAAATATATGCCTTTGGGTTAGCAGCACAACTCCCTCTCTCTGCTCACGAGGTCATAGGAGTTCCCAAAGGCAGCAGGGGTCACAGGAGTTCCCAAAGGTAGCACATTTGTGGGCTGTCTGAAACCACCAGCAGCTCTGTATGAGATAGGCTATCTCCTTCCCCGTGACTTATATATAGTCTCTGAAACCCTTCTGGAAAGCCAGTTAGTAATTGCTTCTGATTTGACCACAACTAGTTGTGCCCTGGGGCCTGAAAGCTCTTGTTTTTGTTATGAGTCTTTGAGTCAGAGACCTGCGGAGAAGGAGGCGCAATATCCTCCTGTACCAGTCAGATCTGATTTGACGGTACACGCACACAAAATAATAAAAAATAATTTAAAAAAAAAAAAAAGAGACCCATAGTTGAACCCTCAGTTGGTTTTCAAGGCAGTAAATCACATGGGAGATTGCCCATCTTTTTCCTTTGGAACAGCTGATGGATTCGAACTTTGTGCTTTAGGATTGACAGCACAAATTCTTAACTCTAGACCAACAGCACTCCCTTGAAAACTCATTTTTGTTGTGTGCTTTTGAGTCAGAACTAACCCATAGCTGGCCCTCCAGTGGGTTTCCACAGGAAGTAAAGCACACAGTAGATCGCTCAGTGCCCTGTGGAGCAGCTGGTGGATTCAAACCACATGCCTTTGGGATTGCAGCACAACTTCTTACTGCTAAGTCACCAGAGCTCCCTTAGTAGAGTTAGAAGTTAAGAGGGAATACCTGAAAAGGTGTGTTCCTGGGCTTTGTGCTGCCTCCTCCCTTAGCTGAATGCTGGCCTTCCTAATTGGAACCATTTCAGGGGAAAAGAATTCAGCACATCATGTAAAGGGGAAAAGGAAATGGGAAAATAAGAAAGTGTGGTTCTGAGCAAACCTAACAGTAATACAGCTAAAGCTTTCTTCTGATTCACTGAAAAACCCATTTTTGATAAAAAGTCAGAAGGTATTATGTAGATGATGAGAAAGACATCAAATTATAGACTGCAGGATGGAGAGGCAAAATGCAACAGTTAAAGGATTTAAACTTGATCCTCAAAATTATCCTTCTGGGAGAAGAGCATATAAGCTCCAATCTGATAAGAAGAACTCTTTAAATTGTCCTTCTAGCCTAAAAGATTAAGGAAATGTAGGGGGGTGGGAGGTTTCCTAGTGCTTTCTTACCTGTTAAATAATTACAGAGTTTTCTTGCCAATTATCTCTACAAAGAGAAAAAGAAGCACATATTTTGGGCCAAGAGGCAACACCATGCCAGACAGTGAGATGTTTAAAGTTGTCAATGATTTCATCTTGCTATGATC